TGGATTTCAAAATTCTAACTTGGTGAGAAATTCATTTCCAAGTTACCAATTTCAATATAATGGCATTTTTAACTCAAGAGGTCTTTGGGCATGATTCTTGATGCTTTAGAAAGATGATGTTACAAGCTTTGCAATGGAAAAAGAATGGAATCAAATGGATGCTTGAGCTGAAAGTTTCATTGAGTCAAATTTGGGGAAAAAATGTTGACTTTCCATACTTAGAAATATTTCAAATTTTCTTCAAAAGTGACCTATAATGTTTTGCATCCAAATATGGCCTTCCACTTGGAATTTGCTCTTGACCAAAAAAGATGGCATGAAATAGACCTCTTGAATGACATTTTGAAACCTGAACCATTCAAAATCTCCAAAAATTGGGAGAGTTATGAATTGTTGAAGTTGGCAAAAAATCATGAAATGACCTATAATCTTTTGTATCCTTAGGGCATCTTCCATCCATTTTCTCACTTTGCACATAAAAGAAGGAATAAAGTTCACATCCTCAAGATCATTATGGAAAAAGAGTGGGCTCAAGGTGATAAAAATTTACCAAGTTATGATCATTTGAAGTCACATATGGAGAATTGGGGGTTCACCTGGAGGACTTGTAATATTTCTTCATCATTAAGTTTCTTCCACATGAACAATCCTTGAAACTTTTGAAGTGATTTATTAATAACCCTTTAAAGAGGAGGATGTCTTTGGAATCACTCAAAAATACCAAAAGATGAGCAAGATATACTTCTTTGAAGTTCAAAACCATAGCTCCTAGATCAAGAAAATGCTTTGAGAAACTTTGACAATTTTGAACAAACTTCTTGTACCAACACCCTTGCCTTGTAAATAGAAGTTGTTGAGGATGATAATGATAGTTCATAGCAACCAAAACTACTTCCATATCTTGAGAATTGAGAGAAATATGCACTTGTGACCTAATGGGAACAAAGCCTTGTCCAAACATGACAACTTCTTCAATCAACCCCTTGTACTTTTGAATCAATCTTGATAACTTTGAAAGGTGGTGAACCGAGATAAACCTTGCCATTTCATTTCTTCCAAAACAACTTCAATGGTGAGGTTTGAATTTCTCAAGCTTTATTGACTAGGGCATGGAAATAAACTCATGAACCCATGGAGCAACTTGCTAAACCTCATTGCCTTTACCTACATTATTAACAAGTAAGACAAGTCAACATTGCATTTTATTAATTAGAAAGAAAATCAAGAAAAAATATTCATGATCACAAAAGAAAACAAGTCAAGGTGCTTTGGGATTCCTCAAAGAGCAAAGCTAAAGATAGGAAGGAGAACCAAAAGCCCCAATGTGATCTTGTTGTGATTGAATCAACATGGTATAATGAAGGGATCTTAGGGGAAAAAGTTGGGGTACAACACTTTCTATTTCAGACAACCCTTTAGGTTCCATAAAATCCTGCAGGTCAAAGTACTCAGTTTCAGTTACAACATTTCCCCCAATCATATCTTGACGCTTCAAAACATTGTTGTAGTCACCAATTAAACACCAGGGACCTTAGATTTGTAACTTACCTAAGTCCTTCCACAACATTTTCCTTTGCTCCAGCTTATTTAAAGCATAAATTGTAGTGTTCCAAAACATGAAATTCATCTGCTTGTCATAGACACCACAATGCACCATTTGGCTAGTGCAAGAGATGAGATTGACATCTACGATATTTGAGTTCCAATGAATCCAAATCCTCCCATTTTCATGAGAGCAATAATTATCTACAAGCATACCATCTAAATTAAGCGTGTTCTTAATGTTACTAGCTTGGATAACTTTTACTCTAGTCTCTAGCAAAATGTTAATTCCAGCTCTAAACTCTAGGAGACGGGAGCTTATCTCTTTTAGTTTAGCTGATTTATTTACCCCCCTAACATTCCAAGCAATAATCATTGGCCAGTGTTTTGAAGCACTAGGAGATCATTCAATATTTCTAGTGCATCAAACTCATTCTCACATAAAATTGCACCTGTTTTTTGTTCTGCAACTTTGTTCTTACCATGATTTGTACCACTTTTGTTATGTTCAGTCCCTATAGCGTTCTTGCCAAGATCCTTACCATTTATGTTGACTGCATTCCATATCTCATTATTATCCTCTTTTTCATCACTACTCGCACTAACATCAATTTTTTCCTTCTCAACTGGGATGGTAGGCTCCTTAACTTCAGCTTGTACCTGAGGTTTAGGCTTCCATTGCATCACTTTTTTGGGTTTATCACAATTGTGACCAACTTTTTGACATTTTCCACAGGACAAAGGGCACCATTCATACTCAATGACTTGTTGCATCTTTTCCCCATCATTATCCCTGATGGTAATTTCTTTTGAAAGATCTTTAGTGATATCCATTTCCATAAGGATTCTAGCGTATGATACCCGAAGCATGTTAACTATACATTCATCCGTTACAATAGGGTTTCCTAGAGCACTCCCTATTTTGTTGAGACTAGTTTCTCCCCATAGATATAGAGGGAGATATAGAAGTTTAACCCAAATAGGAAGAGTTCTCAATAGGACATCTTTCAAATTGAAATTTGGGCGACATTCTCTAATCAACAACGACATGCTTCGAATAGTGTAGGAGCCCCTCATCAGAATTTAATCCCTATCCCTGAAAGACTTGAAATGAAGGATGAAATACCCTTTCTCATGGTAGTACATATCAGACAGTTGAACAAAATTCCATCTATTTATCATGAAGTTTTTTATTGCGTTCATACTTAGCTCACCTCCCAAAGCATATAACACTAAGGATGATTCCCAAAATTTGAGTTCCGCTACTATGGCGCTCTTTAAAATATCATATTGATGTGAAGACTAACAACTTTAATCCATATTATTCATTATTTGGTTGGAAGTTAGCAAGAAACTTCACTTTTCATTATATAAGGGGTTCAAGAGTTTAACCTACTAAAATCTCTTAAGCACTATTAGATATTCTCATGATCAAATCTTGGGGACATGATTAGGTCTTTTTAACTAAAATTATATTAGTTATTTAGTGTCATTTCTATTACTCTTAAATCTTTATTAATCTTTAATAACTCTAAATAAAGAGAATATTTTTTTAGAAAAATCAAAATTTCAATTTCAAATGCGTTGAATAGAAGTATTTTAAAAAATATTTATCTTTTTAAGCCTTTAAAGAGCGTCCCCTACAACATTCGTTAGCATATTCCTAATAAAAAAGTATTTTAATTATTAATAGTGTGAGTTTTTTTATAAAATTATTGTCCATTTATTTAAATAGGCAAGTAGTTAGTTTTTTAATTCTCAAATTTTAATGAAAGATATTTTTGTGAAAGATAAGTAAATGCATTTAAAAAAAATTAAAACGGATCTTGCAAAAATGGAAACAAGTTGTATGCATAAAAACTTGACAAATTATTCTCACCAAAAAAAATGTTGACAAATTATTTAATGCCTTTTAATTTATTTAATTACCATTTAATTTATTTTAAAGTTCAAAGTTAATGCATATTCACAATTTAATGATGAAAGTAAATTATTGATACTTTTATATAACACACTAACAATTTAACTATTATATAAGTTTGATGAAAAATCATAGTTTATTTTATAAAAAAATTATTATATATTTTCACATATTTAATTATTTGCAATATATATTTAAAATAATATTAATAAATAATAGTTAATATCTTATTGAATTTTAAAAACGACAAAAATCAAAAAATTATTTTGTAAATGTAACAAGTAAAAGTATAAATTAATTTATATGTGTTGAATAAAACAGAGAATTATATAGTGATTAAATTAATTGTATATGTAAAAAAAACCTATAGCGCTGTATATAGAAATTAAACTCTAATAATAACTAATGAAAAAAGAACTGTAACTTTGTACAATAGTAAAATTGGGGAAATGCTAACGTGCCACTAGGCACTCACTAAGAGTTTAAAAATATGTATTTTATTTATTAAATATGTGTATTAGTGTAATAAAAATTGAAATATTTAATTTTTCTAAGAAATAAAAATATAAGTTCTTGAAAATATTTGTATTTATTGTATTACCAATTAAAATAATTTATTTATTTAAAAAATATTTTTTATATTTAAAATTCTTAATATCCGTTTATTTTTATTTTTATTGTATTTTTTATAAGAACTTATCGGACTTTATATTTGTCTTAAGATTTATAATCAAATTTGTATTAAAAATTTATATTTGATTTTTTAAAGAACTTATAGCGATATATATATATATATATATATATATATATATATATATATATATATATATATATATATATATATATATATATATATATATATATATATGATAAATTAGTTGATAATTTTAAATTATATTTGATATCTAATAACTGATAGTTTATAAATCATAGTTGATAGTTGAGATTGATAATTGATAAATTAATTGAAGTGTGTGATAAAATTAGCAATTCAACTAATTTATAGATATGAAATAATATAAAAAATATTTAATATAATATTATTTCATTTTAAATTAAAATAAATAATAAATAATAAATATGTATTTTTGTTAAAATAATAAGAATAAACTCAATTATAATAAATATGTAGCTTTCTATAACAATTCTATATATAATTTCTCGTGTAATGGATTACTATAAAAAAGTGTACACATAATAAATTGTATATCCGTTTTTACAATTCTATCCAAATTCTCTTGTAACGGATGATATATATGGAAGAAAAAAATAATATCATTGCATTAATTGTTTTTTTACGAATAAAAAACCATTAATGTTTTGATATATTTCCGTTTAAAAACATATTTTATATTTAAACCGAAAAAAAACGTTTTGATATTATCTTTAACATAAAAACGTGTTTTATTTATTTATTTAAGGGTTTGGATAAAGAAGATAAAAAATTAAATGTAGCAAATTTGCCAAGTATATAACACCTCCAACCACAACCAACAGAAGAAAACAAAAGAAAACAAAACGAAAAGAACAGAAAACGATGTCGTTGATAAGTGATGAAATGAAATCGGAATCAGAGGTATACTATGGAGACGAAATCTGTCAAGTGAAATCCCAAGAGCTTCTGGAAGAAATGTGTCTTCCGAAAGGTTTGTTACCATTGAAAAACATCATCGAAGTTGGTCACCACAGAGAAACAGGTTTCGTTTGGCTGAAACAGAAGAATAGCATAACACACAAATTTGAAAAGATTGGGAAAGTAACATCTTATGCTACTGAAGTCACTTCTTATGTTGAGAAAGGTAAGATTAAGAAACTGAATGGTGTTAAAAGCAAAGAGCTTTTTATTTGGGTGACACTAAGTGATATTTATGTTGAATCCACCTACTGGGAAAATCACTTTTCAAACTCCTGCTGGACTTTCTCGAACTTTTCCTGTTTCTGCTTTTGAAATTGAGGAGAAATCAAGTGGTGTCAAAGAGGTTTAGATTAGATTTCAATGTCGTTGGCTTGTGTTGAAATTTCAGTTAATAAATTTACGCTACTTTGTCTAGAAATTTAGGACAGTTTCAATGACCAGAAGTGCAGTTGAAGTGGTGTATTAAGCTTTTTTGTTGTTCTTGCTATTTTTCAATTAAAAATGAAATGAATTCTATTTTTATGTTTTTGAGTTACGATGATCAGTAAAATTTGAAATATAAAAGTGTCAATTATCTCTGATCATTGTTAAATATTCTTTCAAACACTCTTTCTCTCTAATATAAATTATGTATATCTTGCATAAAATTTGAAGACCAAAAGTTATTTATAATTGTTTTTATAATTTTGAGGACAATATATTGAAAAAGAAAAAACTACACAAAGTTGGAGGACCTGACCAGATTCCATTCAAAAATTGATAAACTTAAAGAAAGATATATCAAGTTAATTCTTTACAAAATTTTCTAATAAATAAAAGGGTGAAGTCAAAATAAGTGAAGGAATTAGTTGTGAGACTAAAAAAATTCACACAATTATTTTTCTCTCGATAAATGTGAGCAATTAAAAAAAGTCATATTTGCAATGAGCATCAAGCAATGGTTGCACAACTTTTTGAGATGCAAAGGAACAATGGACATGTTAGAGAGAGTTTGAGCCACCAATAAAGAATTTGTTTCTATCCAGAGTTTGTGTCAGTCGTTGTCAGCAACAATGATGATAGCTCTAATAATTGCATAAAATTTTGTATCAACAGAGGATGAAGATTGAAGCTTTTATGAGAAAGTCAAGACAAAATTACCTAGACTATTTCTGAAAATGCCACCACAGTCATATGTACTATTTTTTGAACAAAAGCTCCATCACAGTTAACTTTCATCCAATCTCTATAAGGAGGTTGTCATATGACTTCCTTAATAGAGGGAGCTTTATGATAGTTAATTTTGATGTGAAACACTTTCAGGAGAATACAATCTTGCATTGATGCGTGAGCACTTGAAGAAGAATTATTCTCTGTATTAATAATTTGAGCTCTGTCGTTAACAATGATAGATCTATGAGGAAAGAACTTGTTGTTGAACCTAACAGAGTTGCGGGCAAACCAAATGCCATTCAGTAAATAAATCAAATCAGATTTGATAACAAGTGCAGATTGAGGGGATTCATTGGCACAGACGAATCCTGGTTGTTGAGTAAAACCAATGCCTCACCTTTTTAGCAACTCTGCAATAAAAAGAGATGTCTCACACTCTCAGGGCAGGTCTGACAACCTCAAGACATGAGAATATCATCTGTTAGGAAGATCCTAAAGTCCTACATTGGTTGGAGATAAAGCATTGAAAGAGTTTATATAGAGTGACGCTCCTCACCTTTACAACCGGTTTTATAAGGTGAAGTTAAGTCAGGTACGTCTTTGCTCAAAATACAAGTAGCACAATGTTATACCCTGATTTTTTATCTAAGACTACACTTAATTTACATCTTTGCATTGCGTCAAGATGACATATTTGGTTGTCTCCTAACCCTTTCATTTTTGAATTTTTTCTTTGTAGAGACCGCCAAGCACCATCTCCGTGTTTTCCTTACTAACCGCTAATCAAAATCTAAAAATATGCTTTGTTTTCCTTTTATTTTTTATGAAAGACATGGAATGAATCAGACAAATTGAGCAAGTCTCCTCTGCAAGTGTTCACAAGTGGTTTGATTTATTTTTGCTAATTCTCAAGTCAAAGTGCAAAAGTTCATAACTTCTTCAAATTTTTACATTTTTAAGTGGTTTTTTTTTTTTACATATGATTCTCCTTGACATCATTTATAATTTTCTTTACAAGTCAATAGTTGTTTATGCTTGAAAAACCACGAAAAAATGGAAATGTTAGAAGTCACTTTGTGCACTTAGTGAACTGGACTTGATTTCAAGCGTGTTTTACCCGACTTTACAAAATCATGCAAATTTCACTTTTTTGTATACCTTTTATTCATCATTGATTTTTATTTCATAAAATCATTAAAAAAAATTTAGTTCATGTCATTTTTATTTTTATTTGCATTTTTATTCAAAAATATCAAAAGTAAAAGCCTTTTATTAGTTTTGTTTAAATTTACATCTTTATCTCTTTCTTTCAAAGAAATCACACAAAAAAATATAGTTAATATATTTTTATTTTATTTTAGATTTTAATTCTTCGTTAGTCAAAGTTTATGGTTAATATAATTTTAGTTTTTTTAATATTAATATTGGTTTGTTTTTAAGTTGGGTTATTATTAAAATTTAAATTAATTTTAATATCTCTTTTATTTTTCATTTTTGATATTTTTAGTTTAATCTAAAACTCTAGCACGTTTAATAATTAGAAGTTAAGATTGATGTCTCAACAACACACACGATGTCACGACAAATGTTTCAACATTCGCTGACAGCAAAGCATACTTGATAAACCATAAAAATTGTGCTGAAAGTAAATTGAAGAAAACATAAAGAACACAACCAATTGTTAATCCAGTTCGGTGCAATATCACCTACTCTGGGTGATAAGCCTAGGCCACCCATCACCAAGTTTTACACCCGCAGGCAGCGACTCCCAAGGAATGCAGGATCAGGAGATGCGAATCAGGGGGCATGACCCTTGGTGAACAGACACACTCACCCGAAAGGATGCGACCCTTGGAACCAAACAACATCAAATCTAACAATTATAACCCTTCAAATTAATTGTGCCAATTAGGAACAAATGTAAATGTAGTATAAATAGAAGCAAATCAGAATTAGGAAGACATTCAGAAAATTAGGAAGAATTTGAATTGTGGAGAGACAGACTCTCGAAAACCTGTGTTGTAATAATCCAATATTATATTATCTACATAAATTTCAGTATTCATCTTTTCATTTCTGTTCCAATTTTTTTGGCTCTTATCAATTGGTATCAGAGCACCGTCCAGGTGCTTTGCTTCCAACAATGGTGACAACTCGATCTAATCCCGAAAACCCAGACACAATGGAGAGAATTTTAGAAATGTTGATGGCGGACCGACAAAACCGAGAGGTAGAACGACAACAATTCGAAACACGCTTTGCACGTCTAGAAGCCATGGTGGAAAATTTGTCCAAGCATTCAGAAGATGGCACACTCAAAGGTTCCATCAATGGAGAACGTTCAACCAAGGGCCACACCAGAGAAAGAAAAACAGAATGATGGAGAAAATTGGCAATCCCCATATATGATGGAGAGTCCGATGCTTATGGCTGGATAAATAAATTGGAACGCTTCTTTCAAATGAGAGACATCCTAGAAGAAGAGAAAATTCAGGAAGTTATGGTGGCTCTAGAGGGAAATGCACTATCTTGGTTCCAATGGTGGGAAAATTGCAATTCTGATATTGGATGGGAAGATTTCAAACTTGCCATTCTTGAAAGGTTCCAAACTTCAGCCACTCTCAACCCTTTTGCTGCCCTCCTTGCACTTAAACAAGAAGAAACGGTGGAAGAGTACGTTGAACAATTCGAAAAGTTTGCAGGTATGCTGAAAACTATCGATGAAGAACATTTAAAGGACATTTTTGCGAACGGATTAAAGGAAGACATTGGGGCAGAAATTAAACTCTACGAACCACCCACTTTTTCAATCATGGTCAAGAAGGCATTAATGATCGAAAAAAAATAGAGCAATTTGGAAGGTGGGACCGAATGCTCCTTCTAACTTAAATTCAAAAGTTAACAACTCGTATCGAAGCCCATCCTATTCAAAGACTATTACTTATGGTGTTGGTCAGAAAGGTGGAGGAAAAAGTAATGGCCCTTCTAATTCTTTTGCGGGAAGTGTATCGGTGAACAAACCAGAGAACAACAACTGACCCAAAGGATTTCAACGGTTAACCGAAGCAGAACTTCAAGAGAAGAGGAAGAAAGGAGAATGTTTTCGTTGTGAAGAAAAATGGAGCACTTCTCATGTATGTAGAAATAAACAACTTTGGATAATGTTAGTAATAGATGAAGAGGATGTTGAAAACTCTGAAGAGGAGCCCGAACCCGAATTTGGAGAAACTCCCCAATTATCCATGAATAGTATTGTGGGATTTACTTCTCGCCGATCCTTGAAGGTTTGGGGAAGTATTGATGATAACAAAGTCATAGTATTGATAGACTGCGGTGCCACCCACAATTTCATTTCAAAGGAACTGGTGGAAAAATTACAATTAGAAGTGGAAGACACTCCATCATATGTTGTAGAAGTCGGAGATGGTCACAAAATCAAATGTAAGGGAGTATGCAGAAAGGTTCCCTTGAAAGTGCAAGAAGTACAAGTACAACAACAGTTCTTCTTGTTTGGCCTTGGAGGCGTGGATGTGGTTTTAGGCATGGAATGGTTAGCAAGCCCGGGAGATATTAGTGTCAACTTTGAACAACTGACGTTGGGCTTCAAGATCAATGGAAGAAAGGTAATTTTAAAGGGAGAGCCAGAACTTTCAAAGAAAGACGCCTCACTTAATTCTATGTTGAAAGCTTTGCAGCAAGGAGAAGGGTTCTTTATCGATTATCGTCATATTCAAGCAGAGATAGATTGGAAGGATTCAATCCCTTCAGAATTAAAAGATGTGCTACATGATTTCCCTTCCATCTTTGAACCCCCAGATGGACTTCCTCCTCATCGGCGTCAAGACCATGCCATTCACCTCAAAGAAGGAGCCCAAATACCGAATATCAAACCATACAGATATCCTCACTATCAAAAAACAGAAATTGAAAAATTGGTTGCATAAATGTTAGAAGCAGGAATCATCCGACCATCTACGAATCCTTATTCTAGTCTTGTCATCCTAGTCAGAAAGAAAGATGGTAGTTGGCGGTTTTGTGTAGATTACAGGGCCTTGAACAAAATCACTATTCCCGACAAATTTCCCATCCCAATGATTGAAGAGTTGTTAGACGAAATAGGATCTTTTCAAAACTAGATTTAAGATTCGGATACCACCAAATCAGAATGAAGGAAGAGGATATTGCAAAAACTGCTTT